ATCTAAATTGTACTCTATAGAAATGATGTCCCTGCAATTGTGCAACTTACCAGGCTTGCTTTTGCTCTTGCATTTTCCTGTTATCTTTATTTTTCTGATATCCAAACTTAGTCATTATAAGGAAGTTCAAAGATTCTCTATCTTCTAACATTAACTGTTCCTGAGCATAAACGTACTGTACTGTTATTCACAACAATTTCATTTCCTTGTATACAAATATATAAAACAGATTGAGCATTATAATATTTTTTTTGGTAATTATGTTTTGGCAGGTTTATTATCTATGAGTTTCATTTTAAGATTGTATGTTGTTGTTGTTGTAATTCTATGCCAAACTGTTTTCCACAGCAAGTGCACCATTTTACATTCCCACTGGCAAAGTAGGAGGGTTCCAGTGTCTCCACATCCATGCCAACACTCATAGGCTTCCTAGTGGATGGGAAGTAGTATCTCATTATAGTTTTGATTTACATTTTTCTAATGAGCAATGATGTTGAGGGTCTTTTTATATGCTTGTTGACCTTTTAAAATCTTGTTTGGAGAAATGTCTATTCAAGTCCTTAGCCTATTTTCAACTGGGCTGTCTTTTTGTTATTGAGTTATAGAGTATATATTCTGGAATAGAGACCCTTTTAGATATACTATTTCTAAATATTGTCTCCCATTCAGTGAGCTGTCTTTTCAACTCTCTTGATAGTGTCCTCTGATGCCCCAAAGTATTTAATTTTGACAAAGTCCAATTTACCTATTTTTCCTTTTGTTGCTTGTGCTTTTGTGTCATAGCTAAGAAACCACTGCCCAGTTCAACGTGGTAAGATTTACTATGTTTTCCTTCTAAGAGTTTTCTAGTTCTAACTATACAGTGTGGAAGAATTTTGCATCCATATTCGTAAGGAACAGGAGTGCTGGTGGTTAAGTGGTTAAAGTATTGGGTTGCTAACCAAAAGGTCAGTGGTTTGAACCCACCAGGTGCTCCACAGTAGAAAGATGAAGCAACCTCCTTCCATAAAGATTTACAGTGTTGGAAACCCAATGGGGCGGTTCTGCTCGGTCCTAAAGGATTACTATGAGTTGGAATTGATTCAATGGCAGTGGGTATTCATAAAGGATATTGGTCTGCAGTTATCTTTTCTTGTGATATCCTTGTCTGGCTTTAATACTAGGATAATGCAGGCCCCACAGAAAGAGTTAGGAAGTGTCTCTCCTCTACTATCTCTTGGAAGAATTTGAGAAGGACTGGTTTTAATTCTTCTTCAAATATTTGTTAAAATTCACCAGTAAAGACATCTGGTCCTGGGTTTTTCTTTGTTGGGTGGTATTTAATTCTTAATTCAATCTCTTAATTCTTTATAGGTCTATCCAAATTTTCTCTTTCTTCTTGAATCAGTTTGGTAGTTTATATGTTTCAAGAAATTTGTTCATTTCATCTAGGTTATCTAATTTGTTGGCATATAATTGTTTATAGTATCCTCTTATAAATCCTTTTATTTCTATAAGGCGAGCAGTGATGTCCCCATTTGCATTTCTAATTTGACATATTTGAGTATTCCCTTTTTTTCCCCCCATCATTCTAGCTAAAGTTTGTCAGTTTACTTGATCTTTTCAAAGAATCAACTTTTGGTTTCACTGATTTTCTCTTCTCTATTTCATTTGTCTCTGTTCTAATTTTATTATTTCCCTTTGTCTACAAGCTCTGGGTTTACTTTGTGTTTCTTTTTCTAGTTCCTTAAGGTGCAAAGTTAGGCTACTGATTTGAGATCTTTCTTGTTTTTTAGTGTAGGCATATACAACTATAAATTTCCCTGTAAGCACTGCCTTTATTGCATTCCATTAGTTTTGGTATGTCATGTTTTCATTTTTATTCACCTCAACGTATTTTCTAATTTCTCCTGTGATTTATTTTTGATCCACTGTTTAAAGGTGTGTTGTTTAATTTCCACATATTTGTGGATTTCTAGGTTTTCTTCAGTTATTGATTTGTAGTTTTATTCCACTGTGGCCAGAGAAAATACTTTGTATGATTTCAGTCTTTTTAAATGTTTGAGACTTGTTTTGGGGTATATGATAGAGAATGTTCCATGAGAGAAGAATGTGTATTCTGCTATTGTTGGATGGCATGTTCTGCACCCACCTGTCACGTCTAGTGGTTTATAATGTTGTTGAAGTTTTCTCTGCAGCATGCTATTTCAGCATGGTACCATTTGCATATAAAACTATTCCTAATACAACATAGGGAGCTCTGGTAGCATAGGGCCTAAGGCACTTGACTGCTAACCAGAAGGCTGCCAGTTCAAACCCACCAGCCACTCCTTGGGAGGAAGATGAGGCAATCCACTTCCCTAGTGATACTATGAGGCGCGTCTGACTCGACGGCACATAACGACAACGACAATACAACATAGGCTTTGACTAGGATTTGAGAAAGATTTCACTAATGAACCTCTACCACCAACATGCAGACCCAGTCTATGGGTATAGTGAGAGTAGTGATCCCTGGGATGTAAATGGTTATTTTCTCTGTCCAAATTGCATAGTAGCTGTCATTTGGTTGGTGTCTTTATTAGCAGGCTGGCAATCTTATTCTTTGAGTTGATGAAAATGGGTGTCCTGAGAAGTTTTTCTATTAAAGTCTATCCCCTCAGAATTCCTTCTTTTCTTGCTGTGAGAGTATATGATACTCTTCTTTACTTTAAACTTGTTTTACTTATATCTTCTTTCTTCCTTTATCATACCTATATTGCTCAGCAAAAGCTTGACTTTTCTGATTTTCAAACTAAGCTGATGTATTCCAAATTCAGCTTCCCAGCTATGAGTACAATGATGTTGCATATAAATTTCAAAATCTTAGTAGCTTAGAAAGAGATGTATAAATTTCTTTCTCACAGGTATGTGGGAAGCTCTGTTTCATAATGACAGAATGGTCTATGTCTGCTCCATGTGTTTCTCACTCTGGGACCAGTGCCTATAATGGACATGCTCACCTTATAGAAGATGACACAGAATAGGAGGCTGAGTCAAATCAGGTAAAAAATTGAAAGCTTATGTGCACACCACATTTGCTAACATCACACTGGCTAAAACCAACATCAATGGAATGGGAAAATTTTCTCCTTTCATGGTAGTGAGGAGGGGAGAATAAATATTTACAGAATACTGTCAACCACAGTCTAGTAAAATGAGATATTAGGGGCAATGTACGGAGTTTTTCAGAAAGTTAAATACACTCCTTAGAACAATCAACCATGGGGGATCAGAAAGGCAGCATTTGCACAGGGAGATAGCTCGAAGGGCAAGAATGCAAAGGAAAGGACACAGGGAAAAGGTAACCATAGGCAAGATGTGGGAAGAGAGCTGTTTTGTTATGGGGAATGCAATCAATGTCATGAAACAAAATGCGTATGAAGTGTTGAATGGAAAACAAATTTGCTTTGTAAACTTTCACCCAAATCACAATTAAAAAAAATAGACAAGTTCATGTTTTAGAGAACTGAAATGCCATTATTTCTGTTGATCTAACCTAACTTCTACCTTACAACTGGTCCCATTTATTCTTCAGGTCTCTACACAGACATGGTTTTACAACACTTGGGGCCCTTTCAAAAGAAAAGATTCTTAATACATGAGCATCTCATTGTCATGTAAATCTTTCATGCCCCTGACATGAAAATTCTGACAGCAAATGAAGAATAATGGCCCATGACTCTATAACTTTAGAAGAATCAGCTAAACTAAGATTAAAATGGAAAATGCAGCTAGCAGTTTTAGTTCTAATGTGAAAGCATACTATTTAATGGTTTTGTACATGCACAAGTTTTAATAAATACTAATAATTTTGACTTAGCTTTATCAAACATTGAGGAGCTCTTGTGGTGTAGTGGTTAAGGCATTTGGCTGCTAACCAAAAGGATGGTGGTTTGAACCCACTAGCTACTCCATAGGAGAAAGATGCGGCAGTTAGCTTCCATAAAGATTTACAGCCTTAGAAACCCTCTGAGGGTCACCATGAGTTGAAATTGACTTGATGGCAGTGAGTGTGGTTTGGTTATCAAACATTACAACTATGAAAAGTATCAGAGAAGTGTTTTGTTTTGTTTTGGGTCAAGTATTGTTAAAGCAAATGAAGTAACCAACACTGCTCTCTCTAATGACTGATTACTCACTTCACTCCTGACTCCTCAGCTTATTTCCACCTCCCACTCTTGCTCTTCATCTTGTCCTTTACTTGAGACAATCTCCAGCTTTAGGCATTATTAAAATATCAGAGCTACTTCATCTGTTCCAAATGAGGGAGTGGAGTGAAAGAACATGATACTGAAATGAATTGTATCTATTGAAAACCTTACAGAGACTTCTGAATTTGTCAGAACATGAAATTTTTCATTAATCTTATTCTAGAAACAAGATTTACACTTCATTATCTATGCTCATTATCAGACACTAACTTATCATACAAGATATGTGAAGTAACTTCACAATATGGCAACATCTTTTCATTATCCTATTGACCTTGTTCAATATTGGGAGAATTTGACCCAACGTATATTTGTTGTTGTTGTGTGCCCTTGAGTTGGACCCGACTCATAGCGACCCCTCCTTGGGTTTCCAAGGCAGTATCACTACGGAAGTAGATTGCCCCATCTTCCTTCCGAGGAGTGGTTGGTGGATTTGAACCGCCAGCCTTCTGGTTAGCAGTCAAGTGCCTTAGCCACTATGCTACCAGAGCTCCTAACATATATTTAGATTTCCTAAACATGCAAATCTTAAAAAAAGAGGCAGAGGGGCACCCATGAATTAGCAAGGGAAGTTTTCATTAACTGGGATGAGAACTCAGCTCACTGGTTTTCAAACTCTTGTTTGTGTCACATCTCCAATCTAAATAAGTATACTTCTTTTACAACATGTGGAGTTTATTTAAGTTAATTTCCTCTCCTTTTTAACATGTAAGTCTCATTAAAATAAAACAGAAATTCAAAAACTTGGCTGTAACATAAGCAACATACCTGCAGGTATGATCGTCACTCACACTTGCAATTTCTTGGCCTTGTTTGGGATCAAACACCAAACCATTAATAAAGTCTGAATGGCCCTCTAAAACCTGATACAGGGGGGAAAAAAAAAACCAGAAAAAGAATTGACAACATTCCTACGTAATATTTTTACTTCACTGCCTTGAAAGCTTTCACTCATGCTTTGTTTCCTATGAATATTTCTTAAGTAATCAGCTATTTTAAAAGCATGATTTATATACCCACTCTTCTGGAAGGTTTATCTTGGAAAGAAGTTGATCATTCAGCACACTGCCATTACCATGATTTTTCTTTTCTAGTATGCATTTCTTACAAAAGCACACACTTTTTTTTTCTTTAAACTGTACCTGTCCTCACATCACCTTCTTTCTCACTTTTTACATAAAGCTTAAATAAAAAATAAAGCTACAAAAACATTTTAGGGGCTTTGAGATAAAGTCCTTCTCTGCTTTTTTACTTGGACCTGGCTGCTGTGCACACTTGCTACTTACCTGATAAACACATACAGTATGGACTTCCCTTTAATTGATTTACCTACTTATTCAGTGTGATTCTCAGCACTGTAGACAGGTAGTATACTAAAGTCCATAGTTACAATCAACCCAGCAAATGGGAAATGGTAAGGTGGAAGCTTATATGAACAGGCAATGTTTAACTGGTTTAAATGTTTACAGCTGAAATACAAAATATGCCTGTTAGGTATCAGATGTTTCAGTATCTGAATAGGTCTCTTTCTGCCCCTGCTCCTTTATCTCTCTCTTGCTTCCCGTGCCATTTTGCTCCTTCTGCCCTTTCCTTCCTCCTAGCCAAAATCAATTCAAATTTGATCTCAGTTCCATACACAGAACTGTATCACAAGGGCAAAAAGAAGGATTTGGTTTAAACATTCCTATAAGCTTTAACGAATCCAGGTTTCCAAGTCATTGTCCAAAGCTTCTGCCATAGTCCACAAGTCAAACTAAATTAACATTAAACGTTTATTTTAACGTCCATTGTAAATACACACTAACTTTTGCTAGATCAAAATATTACGTGCCCTATGTCACCTGGAGCCCTGGTGGTACAGTGGTTAAAACGGCTGGCTGCAAACCAAAAGGTTCGTGGTTCAAACCTGTCAGCCACTCCACAGGGGAAAGATGAGGCAGTCTGCTTCTGTACAGCTTTACTGCCTATGGGGCAGTTTATTTTGTCCTATAGGGTCACTAAGAGTTGGAATTAACTTGACAGCCATTGGTTTTTATATGTCACTTGGCTATTCATGAGCACACAGTAGATTAACCACCATGTGCAGTATATTAAACCCACTGTATATAGCTTAGGGTATAATTTTTACTATTTTTTCAATGTTTGAAAAGGCTGATAGTTTATCTTTGTTTTATAACATTATTCATATTTTTGATTTTTAAGAAAGTAACACTGTTCTTATAAGAACACATGATATAATTTCAACCCAAACTGAGAGCTATTTATTATAGTAATAACAAATACATATTTAGGGCTTACTAAGCACCAAGCTTTGTTCCAAGTGTTTTACATGAATTAGCTCAGTCAATGCTCATAATTTTATGAGATAGATGGTATGACTAACTCCATTTCACAGATTAGGAAATGAGTACAAAGAGACTGAGTTACCTGCCCAAAGTCACACTGCTACTACATGGAGCAGCTGGGCTGCAAACCCATGCAGTTTGGCACTGGGGTCTGTGCTCTCAAACCCTTTGAAATCTTGCCTCCCGCTATGCTGTACTGATCATTTATTCCCTTGAAGCTCAACTCTTACTCTGTGTGTGCTCATGTCTGTTAAGTGTCTACTACACCCAAGTGTGAATTTTTATGTCTCCCCCATTTGCTATGTCTGACTCATTTATTTATATTTATTTAATCTGGAAAGTGGTATGAAATTTGTAATCCATAGGCTAAGAATTTAGTTCCTATAGACTAAATCATGGCAAATGACATTCTAATTTACATACCTCAAAGAAGACCAAAAAAAGGCATTTTTAATTGGTATAAATCCAATTACAAAAGTAAAAAAAATATGTTTTAAAATAAACTCTGAAGATTTATAAATTATACTTGTCAACATACCTTATATTCGTTTTTATCCTGAAGATCTGAAGTAAATAATCTGATTTTCATGTCAGCAGCTGAAGTACAAAATCTGGAAACAAAAAATCAAAATCAAAACAAAACAAACCATTTTCTATCTCTATATGTGAAAACCCCCTGCAACTGGGGGGAAAAAAAAAACAGAAAAAGATCAAAATCATAGCCATGCTTAATTTTTTTCAGTAGAAGGAGAACGTTGTAGACCTGTGGTAAAAAAAAAAAAAAAATTAAATAGTAATTACTGAAAGTAGGAAGCATTTTAAATATTTCAGTGTAGGACTATGCAAAAAATCAATACATTCTTGATTTGTCATCTCAATAACAAAATTTAGAATTTTATTGTAAATCAGCATGTGAATTTAATTTTAAACTTTTCCTGAAAACTATAAAAGGATGAAATAAAAAGAAACCAAGTTTATTTCCAATTCTTGTTTGATAAGAAGCAAATTGTAGGGCTCTAAATTTCTCCTGTAGTTCTGAATATATTTTAATTCATAAGGTTTTCAATGGCCCCTTCCTTCTTCCCAGTCTGTCTTAGTGTCTGTTGTGCTTGGTAAAGTGGAGGGTCAGTGAAAAAAGGAAGATCCTCAACAAGACAGACCAATACAGTGGCTACAATTGATGAGCTCAAGGACAGCAAGGATGGTAAAGATGGTGCACGACTGGGCAGTGTTTCATTCTGTCGTGCGTAGGGTCGCTATGAGTTGGGAGTCGACTTGATGGCACCTAACAACATATTTTAATTAATTATTTTTTTCTCAGCTAATAAATTAAAGGATTTCTCTAAAGCAAGGCTAATCTATGGACTGGGAGGTATTGGTATCTCTGCCACCACACTCCTTTTTGGTGATCTGTCAAGATCCATGGAAGGAAACAGATCAAAGTTAGCAGATAAATCCTCTTTTTAATTCAAAGTTTTCTCAGAAGTAATTTTTGTACAAAAATGTTATAATTATGAAATATAAATTTTAATGAAGATTATTTTTTAGTGAGATTCTTAAAGAGTTTATATGAAAGGGTACATTCTACATTACATTAGTACATACTTTATTTTGCATTTCTAGGTATGTATACAGTGCATGAGAATGTTGTACCTTCTGTAGTAGGTTGAATAGTCGCCCCTAAAAGATATCCAAGCCCTAATCTCCTGGTACTTGTGAATGTGACTTTATTTGGAAATAAGGTCATTGCACAATTAATTAAGGATCTCCAGATGAGATCATGCTGGATTTAAGACAGGACCTAAATCAAAGGACCAGTATTTAGAGCCAAAGGCATAAAAGGAGAAACACAGAAGAGGATCTGAAGACAGAGGCCGAAGTGACGCACCTACAAGCCAAGAAATGCCGAAGATTGCCAGATGCCACCAAAAGCTAAGACATGTGTTTTCATTTTATTTGTTTCCAGGAATTTTTTAAATTTTACTTTATTTCTTCTGTTATCCAGTGGTTCTTGAGCAGTGTGTTACTTAGTTCCCATGAATTTGATTTTTTCCCCCTGGTCTTCTTATTGTTGATTTCTAATTTTATAACACTGTGATCTGAGAAGATGCTTTCTGCACTTTCGATGTTTTTAAATTTACTGAGGCTTGATTTATTGCCTAACATATGGTCTATTCTTGAGAATGATCCACGTGCACCAAAAAAGAATGTGGATTTCTTTTCCCCCCTTGGGTGGAGTGCTCTGAATATGTCTATGAGGACAGGCTGGTTTATCGTGTTTTGAGATCTGTACCTTTGTTGAATTTTTTTCTAGTTGTTCTGTCCTTTATCGAAAAATTGGTATGTTAGAGTCTCTTACTGTTTTTGTAGTATTGTTTATTTCTCCCAACCTTCCTTCTGAGGAGTGGCTGGTGGGTTTGAACTGCCAGCCTTCTGGTTAGCAGTCAAATGCCTTAGGCACTATGCTACCAGAGCTCCTGGAATTCTGATTACACATAGGGTTATTCCTTTTGATGGCATCCCACATGAACCTTAGGGTTCCTTCATTTTGTTTTGATCTTTTTTTTCTGATTGATCCCTTTCCAAAGAAGTATTGAGCTATTTGTCTTCAATCTCACTAATTCTGTCTTCCATTGATTAAGTTCTACTCCTTTGCCCATTCAATGTGTTACCTATTTCTGAAAATTTAGTATTAAATTTCTATCTGCAGATTTTCTATCACTTCAAATGTTTCATTTATTTTGTCATTTTGTTCTTGTCTTTCAGAATTGTTCTAGAGTTTTCTCTGTGTTGTCTTCAATTTTGTGTTTTCCTTGATCTGCTCAATCCGCTGAGGGTACCTAAATAGAATTCTTTTGAATTCCTTATCAGGGAGTTCCAATGCTACTTCTTCTTCAGGGATGTGTTCTGGGTCTGTATCCTGGTCCCTTGTTTCTCCTGCTTTATCTTGCTTCTTTTTGCGGACTGTGATGCTCTGTTGTCTCCAAGACATTGTTACGCTTTTATGTTTATATTTAATCGGTGATTGTATGTTGGAGTGACTTGGCCATGATTTTCATTTTACTTGTTTTGTTTGGATATTGTCTACGTAACCAGGGTACTGTGTTCCTTTATTCACTAGCTGCCAGCACTTATATACTCATTGCTTGTCTCCTTTCCCGTTGTCAGCCTCCCGTTGTTCCTGCCATCCTTGGCAATCAGAGCCTATTCTTAGGTCCCTGGAATCTGAATGAGAATGCTTTCACTTTAATAACCAAAATGGCCACCACTTGTAAAGATTCAAAATGCCTGTGCCCTTGGTCACTATAAATATCCAAAATTACCACTGCTTGTAAACTTTCAAAATGGCTGTACCTTCGATCAGTTAAAATATTAAAAATAGCTGCCACTTGTAAATAATTAAAATGGCTGTACCCTCTGGACAACCAAAAATCCACAGCTCAGGTTGTGTCCCTCCTTGCTGTTTCCCTTCCTAGTTATAGGCCACCAGCGCAGTCGTCCCTGCAGCCCATGGAGACCAGAGCTGATCTTTAGGTCAATTCTCAGGTTCCAGCACCACTTGGAAATATTCAGGCTATTAGTTCCATCAGAATAGCTGACAGTCTGCAGCTCTTTCTGTCTCCATACTCACTGTTTTAATTCAGGTTTTTCCACTAATTTGTACCTAATCCACTTCTGTATACTTCCTTTCAAAGCTCAGGGCTCTAGGATTATCTTCTGTATCTCTGTCAATTGGTTTTTCTTTTCTTTGTTGAAGAGGGGTCTGTGTAGCTTGTCTCCCTATTCTGCCATCTTACTGGTAGTTGCTCCTGTAGCAAATTCTTAACTCTTTGTGGAGTGAAGGTTATGTGTCAACTTGGATGGGCCTGGTTTTGAGTGGCTGAGCAGCTGGGTGTAGTTATTCCCCATGAAGACAGTGGTAATCAAATCCATGGCAGAATCTACTGGAGCAGCGGAGTAGCTGCTTTAGGAATGTGGACTGCTTGCAGTATTTAAGAAGCAGCTTTGAAAAAGACCTCTGCAGCTATTTTGGGCATACCTGGACCCTGCATTTAGTTAAATTTTCATTCAGCAGCCTGCCATATTTCCTGCTGATCTTGGGAATGTCTCTGGACTTGAACTAGTGGCCTGTCATGTTGTTTGGTAATCTTAGGACTGTGCCATTTTATTTGTTGACCTTGGGTTTGCCAGCCTTAGCAGCCAACAGCTGCCTAAGAGAAGTCTTCAGCTTCTGGGGCCAGGAGCAAGACGCAGAACTGAAGCCCAAGGTCGAGTGGTCTTCACCCAGCCCCTACAAGTGGCATTTTGAACTTGGACTTGTAGCCTTAAAAACTGTAAGAGTACCCACCTGTTTTTAAAGCCACCTCCCTGTGGTATTTCTGTTAGTGCAGCACTAGAGAACCAAAACACTCCCTAAGTTTGGAATAGTCTGTTCTATATTGACATCAGCCTCACTTCTCCATATGGAAGTTCTGTAATTATACCATTTATTCCCACTATTTACTTTGTAGTTAGTATCATTTACAGATTTACTCCTCTGGTTCTCTATTTTCCATTTTGTAAACTTATTTTAGATTTGATAATTCTTTTTTGGGTTGGTTTCTGGGTGGTATTGTCACGACTTAATCTTAGGTTGTTGTCTTCCGTTGTTGGTTTTCTGTTGGAAGGATTCCCTTTAGCATTCCTTATAGGGTTGGTTTTGTTTTCACAAATTCTCTTAATTTCTATTTGTCTGGGAATGTCCTAATTTCACCAGCATATCTGAGGGACAAGTTGGAAACAGAAATACCATTTGATCCAGCAATTTCTAAAGAGGTGAGGTCCAGGACATGAATAGTTATATGCACACCCACGTTCATCACAGGTCTATCTACGAAGAGATGGAAACAACCTAAGTGCCTATCAACAGATCAATGAATAACCAAGCTATATGGTACATACACAAAATGGAATACTATTCAACATTAAAGAATAATGAAGACTCAGCAAATCACTTCATAATGTGGATGAACTTGGAGGATTATACTGAGTGAAACAGGTTAATCACAGAAGGACAAATATTGTATGAAACCATCATTATAAAAAGGCAAAGAAACATTTATAGAAGGGGAAAAAAAACCCCACCAAACTCACTGCCATTGAGTTGATTCTGACTCAGAGCAACCCCCTTTGGGTTTCAGAAGTGGTAAATCTTTATGGAAGTAGAATGCCCAGTCTTCCTCCTGTGGAGTGGCTGGTGGGTTTGAACCTCCAACCTCTGGTTAACAGTCAAATGCCTTAGACACTACGCCACCAGATGAAAATTTTCTTTGTTTGTTACCAGGGACAGGAGGGGAGGGAAAGGGAAGGAAAATAGATAGTTAAGAGACAGGTTTTATACGGATGAAAGGAAAAGCAATATAGCAAAAGCGTGTGACTAGCATAATATCACTTAGGAAAAGGAAGACAGGGAGAGGTACACAAGAGATTCAGACAATAAAGGCAAATATTGCATACACAATTATCAGTAACAGCAACACTAATATACAGGTGGATACACAGGTAGACAGGCAAGAAGATCAAGTATGGATAGGTTAACAGGAATATACCCATGGTCACACACACAGGTTTG